TTCTGAGGTTGTCAACTCCTCTGCTGGTCCCTGACAGTCACACTGTGCCCTTGGCTACCATCTTAAGCTTGTGTTTTCAGAAGTGAGTTCTCAGGAAGTAGAGCACAGGCACCTGATTCGCTGCAGATGTGTGTGTTGTGGGGGGGGGGGGGGTACTGGGGGAGGGTTAGTGCACACTCAGGTGGCTCCATGGATCAGCACACCCACCAGAGAAGTCTTCATGCCCTGACCAGCAGCCGGGGGTCAGGTTGCTCTGACACAGCCACAGAGTGTTTGTGCAGGAGTGTGGGTCGTTGGGCTCAGTCCCTGGACCAAGATTTTTCATTTTGGTTATAGACATATTTCTGTCTATGTCTGGGACCAGAGCTGACCACACTGCTAAGTTTTCACTTGCATGACATTTAGTAGGAAAAAAGCAAACCCTCATTTTAACAATGACATCAGAAATATGTAAAATAGCCGCGGCTGGTGTGGCCCAGTGGATTGAGTGCTGGCCTGCAAACCAAAGGGTCATTGGTTCAATTTCCAGTCAGGGCACGTGCCTGGGTTACAGGCCAAATCCCCAGTAGGGGGCATGCAGGAGGCAACCGCACATCGATGTTTCCCTCTCCCTTCCTCCTTCCCTCCCCCTCCCTCTAAAAATAAATAAATCAAAGCTTTAAAAAAATATGTAAAATAAAACACAGGCTACTTCAATAAGGGGCATCTAGTCCTTGAGGTTGCTGTGGTCTTTTAGCATGTTCCTGTAGCAGGTGCATTGTCGTCCATTATGCTCAGAGAGCACACAGGGATGATACAATCTGTACTCATCTTTGTCACCTAGTCACCTAGGCTTAAGTCATCAGGAGAGGATGTAGTAGGGAGAAGTAAGGGCCCTGGATTCTCTTCAGCCAGTGAAATAGTGAACAATGAGAGGAAATGTGTGTGTTTAGCAAAACAGAGAAAATATTGGCCTGTCTAGTTATTTATTCAACAGGTATTTGTTGTGCACTTGCTCTGGGCTGGGCACTGTTCTAGGTACTTGGTTATGTCAGAGAAGAGAAGAAAGGTCCCTCCCCTTGTGGGCCTGCTATTCAGGTGGGAGATGCAGATCGTTAACAACCAACATGAATCAATTGTTGATTAAATTAGTAGACCGCTGGGAAAGTAAGAAGCAGAGCATAGTGAAGGTGTAGGGCAGAGAAAAATGTAACGTATATATGGTAGGGCTGGCAAACATGTTTCTGGGCCTGAACATTCTTTAGGTTTATAATAATGATGCAAATGATAACATTAATTGCTAACATTTTCTTCGTCTGACGCAGTGCTAGGCACTGTGCCGGGTAGTTACTTGGATATCTCATTGAGTCTGCAAGGCTGCTCGGATCCTTCCACCCTCCGAGGCAGAAAGCCAGACCTTGGTTCCGGCCATTGGCCTCCTCCATCTTCATGCTCTGTCTTTGCAGCAGAACTTACTCCAGAAATCCTGGCTTTCATTTAAATCTTACCTTTGGTGGATGTCCCCACAAAGCCCAGTGCCCAGAGAGTTCATTCCTTTAAACCCCTCAGTAATGAAGCTGGGTGTCATTGGCAGATTCAGGTACCAGTGGCAGGACTGGCTATCCCTAGCTCTGCCATCAAATAGCTGGGGATGAAAAAGAAATGGGAGGGAGACTTGTGGTGTTTGTCGCTCGGGTGCCATGCGCTGCTCTGGGCCCCTTGGCTAAAGACACCAGCCCCCAGTGACGTGGCCCGTTGCTGTTGATTGCTCCGTTAACCTTGCAGTGAGGACACGGTTCAGGCTGATTGCTGGAGGCCTCTCTGTTTCGGTCACTTCCTTTTTGTACCTGCTGGAGGACTTTTGGTTTGATGGGGACCTCCCTTGTCCTGTCAGCCAGGCTTTCCCCCAGCCCCTCCCCCACCCCCCACCCCGCCATGGGCCTGCGGAGAACCCCATCTTTCAGCTCTGCAGCTCTCTTCAGGCCCTGAGGCATCATGGCCCAATGGAGCTGCCAAATACTTCCTGATAAGGCGTCAATTTCAACCTCGATTGGGGACTGGGAATTACAGAAAAGTCCCACCATCTCGGGCCTTCTGTTGGCTGCAGGGAAGCCGTCCATGCATTCTGTGACCTTTGTACACCTCTCCGCTCTGCCCCGGGAGCTAGACAAAAAGAATAGGAGGGAAACTTGATAAGAGGTCAATGGTAAAGATAGTCATAGCCATAATTTGGGCTAAAAGAAAATAGTTCTTGAAAAGAACACAGCTTTCACGTAGGATGCCTTCTGTAAATGAATGGGTGAGTAGAAAAACTGATAACAAAACTTGGAGACAGATTTTATGAGTGCAGTGAAGTTGGAAGGCACGTCAGGACTTCATGTAACACACACCAATTCCTGGAACCTAGTGATTCGCACTTTTTTTTTTTTTTTTTTTGCATGAATTTGTCACTTTCTATTCCATTTTCTGTTCTGCTCCTCCTAGGTTCACCTACCTCCCTCAGGCCCCCCCCCACCCCGCACACCACCACAAGCTTCGATCCCCTCTACACCCTGTTATCACGGCCTTGCTGCACGCCCGGAACGTCTCTGGGCTCCCATGCCTGTAACTCAAGGTCATTAAGCTAGCCTAGCAGCCACCACACAGCCTTAACCGGGCCCCTGGCCCTCTCCTCCAGCCCTCTCTTTCTACCTGTTCCTCTACTTCAGTCGGGCACTTGCCTCTAGGGTCACCCCTCAGACCTCTCTTATATGTCTCCTCACCCTCTTCTGCCTTGTGTCGGTCTGCATCGCTCTCTCCAGGGAGCTCTCACTCAGTCCACGTGACCCCGGTCACACTCATCTTTGCCTTCTTAACCAACCTCCAGCAGCCTTAACACCTCCACCATTCCCTGGGTCCATTACCCAGAGTTCCTCACAACCTTAGTCACGGTTAAATGCAAGGATGGAGAACACGTGCCCTATTACTCTGTATCCGCTCTGTGGCTAAACACACCATACACTGAAATAAAGAAGTCACTCTGAAATAAAGCACCAGAGGCCTAACTGGCATCCCCCACCACGGAAAAATCCTCGGAGCACCTTGCCTTTCCTTTGGCTCATACCAGCACCACACACGCTCTGCAGACCCCTGCGAGAAAGTGCCCATGAGAGCCATCAACCTCATTCCAAGCTTGTAAACAAGTTGGGCTTTTTGTTTTTGTTTTATTCTGTTCTTAAGCAAGCAGGGGAATCTATTTGCTGGAAGAATTGTGGGGGGAAAAGTCAAATAAAAATAAAACAGGCCTCTTAAATGAGTTGAGCTTTGCCTCTCTTTTGTCCCCCATCCCTGCTCTCTCTCCCCATCCCCCTCACTCTCCGCTTGCTTTTCATGCCAGTTGCTAAATACTGTAATTTAAAAGCTGCACTGGCTTTTCCAGAGCCAGGAGGAATGTGCATTCGCACGTGGGTTTTTCCACAAGAAAACTGTCCCTGTCTTTGGTTCTCCTTATCCAGACACAGTGAACAAACAGTTAGAAGAGCCCATCCGACTCTGTAGTTCTTATTCTAATTTGTTGGAGGCTTGGGAGCGGTCAAGGGGGATGGTTTGTGTTTCACTCCGTCAGGCTGTTGTTTGATGAGGTTTGTGCTCCATTTGTTCAGATGGTTTTCATGGCTTCTTTGTTGTTCACGGAAAGACTTTGAAAGTCATAACTCTGTGTCCTTCGCTCTTCTGCTATTCCTGCTCAATGTCACAACGGGAGTCACACCACAAGAAAGGAAAAGGGGGAGTCCCCAGCCAGTTAGCGAAGACATTTCTGAACACAGTTACAGAGGCATGTGGATTTTTTTCAAGAAAGAGGTTGGGATCACAAACGTTCAGATTCAATGGAGGAGTTTCCATGGCAACTTGGAAGCGAGACTCTAGTCACTTTCAGGCAGGAGGCATCTCTCCATTTTCTCGTGTCTTCTTCCAGCCACACCGCTGGCCTTTTTCCTTCCTCTGTGTGCTCAGGCTAAGCCTTCTCCACTCTCGGCAGAAAGGCGCAAGGGCCTCGCAGCACCCGGCATGCGCTCACACCCCTGAGGCCTCACCCACAGCATCAGCGGGCCCAAGGAGGGGCTGGAGTCGGCCCCCTGTAATGACACGGGTGGGCTTTGAGACATCCTACTCATGGAGTCTTGGATCTGGACACTGTCCATCTCTTCAGAGTTTCTATAGACTTTTTTTTCTTTCTAAATTTGCATTAGTTTATATTTGTAGGAAGCTTTAGAAGATGTCTCACACATATTATAGCATTTGATCACTACCTGTTTTAGCCCTTTGGGGATGGCTATGACAAAGTACCACAGACTGAGGAATTTATAAATGACAGAAATGTATTTCCCATGTGTCTGGAGGCTGGAAGTCTGAGGTCTGAGTGCTGATTCCATCAGATTCTGGCAGGGCCCTCTTCTGCACTGCAGACTGCGGACCTCCTGCGGTGTCCTCGCAGGGCAGGAAGAGGGCAGGCCAGTTCCGTAGCCTCTCCTCTCAAGGCCACTAATCCCGTCCCTCAGGGCTCCCCCCTCGTGACCTAATCGCCTCCCAAAGACCCCACCCCCTGATACCATCACACTGGGGACTAGGTATCAACACATGAATTTGGAGAGGGGGGAACACAGACATTCAGTTCAACCCTATAAGGTCGATAAATCATGTAAATTATTGTTTTCATATTAAAGACGGTTGAATACAGGAATGTCTTATGATTCATCCAAGGTCTCACACAAGTAATGCCAGGGACAGAACTTGAACCAGTCCTCTGACTTCCAATTCAGAGTTCTTCTGGTCACTTCGGCTCCGTATCAGAATAGTCAATGTTCCTTCTACATGCTCCACCTTTGCCCCAGGGCAAGAACGTACTTCTGGAATTTAGGGATGCCTATAAAATAACGGGCGAATTAAATTTAGTTTCTCTGGATTACTAAAAGATCATCTTCACTCAATCTTTGTATAAAGCAGGAGATACTAATGTATAACTACTTGCTGTTTTTCATTAGACCCTTCTTACGACTCAGTCAGGAGAGGAGGATGGGGCAATAACATGAATTCTGGCCTCAACAAAAGTAAGTAAATGTCATTCTACCTTTTGGAGGAAAACATTTTTCCAAGGTCAGGGTGGAGAAAAAAGTTATAAGATTAAAAAAAAAAAAAAAAAGGATGGGAGCAAGAATTTGTTGTCCTGCTTTTTGAGTGGATGTCAAACTAATTGTCTATTTAGGGCCTGTCAGTGATACTGGTTCTTTGAAAAGAGGGTGAGGGGTTTTCATTCAGACCTTTGAGTTCCATTTCATTGTCTTTGGTTTTAGAATTATTGAAGGCAGGTTTCTTAGGATAAGGGTCAGTGTGAAAGGTCGCTTGGTTTGGATTTAAATGATGACTATGACCCTCTATGATTTTGCTGCTCATACTGTCAAAGCTTAGTCACATCGATGTCACTGTTCCCACTTCACGGAAGGCTGAGATGGAGCATAACCTGATGAAGAGATGGCAAGGGTCTGAGACATCAATTTGTGTTGAACTCTGACCTAAAATCTCCCTTCAAGGGAGAGGCAAGAGAATGACTCAAGCTCTTGAACCAGAAACGTGTCCATCTTGCTAGGTCCAGGAAGCAAAATGTCAAGCACATGAATGGACTTTGAAGGGAATTCTTTCGAAAATGAGGTTGGGATTACAAATCTATGCCCCAGCAATAACCAAGATTCCTTTCAATAATATGTATGAATTATTTGTTTACTCTGTGCCAAGAATCTGGCCCTTGGCGTTCAAAGAGATGAGTCAGGCACAGACCCGCAGGGGGAGGGGCTATCACGCTTCACACGTCACTCTTTATCTGGGTGTATCCAGGAGGGCCCTCTGCACCTTGGGGCCATTTGAGTTGGCTCCAGAGAGAGAAGTAGGATTTGGGCCTGCAGAGATGGGGGAGACAGACCCTCCCAGAAGTGAGCGCCAGGGGAAGACACTGAGGTTGCTATGCATGGCAGTCAGTGAGGACTCCGGGTTCCTGGAGTTTAGGATGTGTGAAGGGGAAGAAGTCTGGAAAGGTAAAGAAGGGGGCATGAAGGACATTATGAAGATAGACCTTAATTCGGTAGTCTACGAGGGGTTACCAAGGGTTTGGGACAGTGAAGCAAAATGGTTTAGAGAGATTAAACCAGCTAAACAGCGTATGGTGGGTCAGTGGGAAGAGAAGGGAGTTGTAAGTCTTAGACCATGCAACAACGACAACAACAACGAAACACGGATCTAACATGGGGGTGCTATGACAGCAATGGGGGGAAGCCCATGAAACATGCCAACACGAAAAGCAGTCAACCTTCGCTCAGATGTCACTTTCTCACGAAAGGCCTCTCGAAATTTTCTATTTAAAAGTGAAATCCACTTTGACCATTATACCACTTTACCATTATACCATTAAACATGCTATACAGTGTGTTTATTGTCGTTCATCATTGTCTGCACCATTCACATGTAAGTTCTACTGGGAGCTGCTGGTTCATTGCTGAATGTCTAGCATCAGGAGCAGTGCCAGCACATAGTAGAGTCCAGGTAAATATTTATAAAATGAAATGAATGAATGAGTGCATAGAGAGTGAGTGAATGAATGAGCAAGCACATTTCTCCTCCTTCTGGAGGGCATTTGACAAGACGTTTCTCTCCCCTCATGGGGCGTGGCCCCGCTGACCGCATTTCTCCTTGTCTTGCTGCAGGTCCTCCCCTGGCAGGAGCACAGACAATGAGTAAGAATACTGAGCAACGGCCCCAGCCAGGTACCTGTCCGTGGTGTGCGATTCCTTTTCTGCTGCTTAGGCAGCCACCGATTCCACGTGATCCACTGAAGGGCGTTTAAACAGCAGGCTGCGCCTGCCCTCGTTTTTCCCCCAAGAGCCTCTAGCTGGCTCTCTGTAATAGATCTGTGAATCATGTAACAGGCACTGGAACCAAGTGGTTAAGTAACAGAAGTAAAAGGAATATTAAAGATGAAACTTCCCAATGCCTCATTCTGTAAAATAAACTGAGGCCCAGGAGGCAGAGCGGCTAGCTAAAAAGCTACATAGCTTATTAATGAGAGCATAACAACCCCGAGAGCTGGCCAAGCCTTTTGATGTAAGTTTTACCAAGCTTAGTTTCAGAAATACCTTCATCCTGTGATACATCTACTTAACAATTTAGGTAGGAGAACTTTTAAAACCATAGAATTGGAGGTTTTTAGTATCGGGAAGGATAGAGACATCCAGGTCTGTAAATCCTTCTGTAACATCTCAGTCTTAGGGGTTACCACACCGCTACTTGAATACTTAAAACGACAGGGAGTTCACTCCTTATCTGGGCTCATTTCCATTATTCAAGCCAAAGTCCCTTCCCTATAGCTTCCATTCAAGCTTCCCAGTTTACCCTCAAGAGAAATCTTCCTCCTGTTTTATGCGAAGATCCTTCAGATGACTGAGGATGGCTCCTGAGCCCACTCCCCAGGCCAGCTGTGTCTTCTTTGTGTGACTCAGCTGACGTTAAGCTCTGAAAAAGCCATTTGCTTTGGTGTGGGCAAACACTGTTTTCCATCTCCAGTGAAGATAGAGCAATTAGGAAACTGACTTTCAAGTCATTAGGAAATTTTAGAAACACAAGACAAACAGAGGATTGATTTCACATAAAGGATTTATTGAATCCCCAGCAACAACAAAACAGATTTGATCTGCCAATAACATTTTCATTGTCATACCATGTGGATAAAAAAGAGTGGACTGAATGGCCTTATGGACTCTTCAAGTTAATTTATGGTTCTAAGTAGAAACCCATAAATCATGTTGATTTTAATTTTATTTATCTTTAGAGAGGGGAAGGGAGAGAAAGAGAAGGAAAGAAGCATCAATGTGTGGTTGCCTCTTGCACATACCCTACTGGGGACCTGGCCTACAACCCAGGCATGTGCCCTAGACTGGGAATCAAACTGGTGACCCTTTGGTTCACAGGCTGGCACTCAATCCGCTGAGCCACTCCAGCCAGGGCAAATCATGTTGATTTTTAAAATTGCAATTATAACCATAAAAAAGTAAAATGATGCCAAACCTTTAACAACGTGGCCCAGTTGTGATTCAGCTATCTACCATGATCTCTTCACCTGAAAAAAAAGAGGACAAACCTCACTAAAACCAATACTACAAAGATTTTTATAGCTAAATAATCACATAAATTTTAAGTAAACTTAGACATCAAGAATAGTAATTTTATAGTTAAAATACAGATTCCAGTTAGTGTTGAAATTTCCAAGCTTACAATCACAGAATGTTGTTACAAGGAGAGAACTGAGGGATCCAGTAGCCGAGCCCACTCATTTTGCAGATGAGAAAACCAATACCCAGAGATCATCCAATGAGTTTAATTTATTACAGAGCTGTGTCTATGAACCAGGCTGCTTGATTTCCAGGCATGTATATTTTATGCTACCTCGGAAAAGCAGAGGTATATAAAGTTGTCACTAATAGGTAGAGCTATTAAAGACCAGTGGTCATTAGATCCTCTTTAGGTCCACTTAATAAACCATGTATACCTTATTTGTTATGATTAAACATTAGCCAGCCCCTTTCCAAATGGCTTCATCACTCTGTTTTAGGTAATAACAGCATTATCTACAAATTTTAGACATCAAACATGAAAAAAAAAATAATGCCGTTACTACTCCATGTTATTTCTATAAATACTGGAATGAACCATAACTGTGATCAAGATCTTTGGGGTCTACAAATAAAACAGTCAAGTTTTCTAAAATCAGACTTTCCTATGATACTGAAATAAAAGTGTAAACCTTTGGGGTATTCTTATTGTTAATGCTGTTGTTTTTATATTTTTAATAGCAGTAAAGCAAATTTCCTTTTTTGTTTCCTTAGATCCCTATCAGATCCTGGGCCCAACCAGTAGTCGCCTAGCCAACCCCGGTGAGTTGACTTTGGCCTGCAAGATTTTCTTTCCAGAATGTTCTATAGCTTTATGAGGTCATAGAGACCTCTGTCCTAAGTTCAGACACCTGACTGGGTACTGTTTTCCTTAAAACATTCAACACCTGTTTCTGTAGTGTACAAATGAGAGGTCAGGGCTTGTTAGTTGGTGGCAATGATGTATTTGGTGGAAAACAAATGTGTTAGCTCTGCACACCTGCACTGAGGTTGAGATGAGTCCTAAATGGCACAGACAGAAGTCCCAGGAGGGAAAAATGAAGGTTAGGGGAAGGAAACAATTCCAGTGGACTCTCAGTTACCTGCCTTGTGCAAGGCACAAGTGAATAAATGTCCCAAAGGTGTTTTATTCTTGATTTTAGGAAGCACTGCTGAGCTCTCTGGCCTTATCAAAGAGGGGTGACCCTGAAAAGTTGCAGAGAAAATACACTTGACAGTGCATTTTAAAGGTTTATTATCAAAAGTAACTCTAAAGTGAATTCTAAGTCCAGACTTCCACGTGTGAGCTAAGAGGCCCCTGTGTGAGAGGCGGGCCCGAGGGAACTAAGGCTGCCCTGTGTCCAGGCCTGTCCTTTAGTGCCTGGCTATTTCCGCCCAGAGGACAAAGAAGCCACCCGGCTCCCTCCCCTGTTACTCTTCTCTGGGCCCAGGTTCTTCCCTGGAGAACTCAGAGCTGGGAGCAGGTGCCCGGGCTCTGCGAAGGAGCGTGGCAGGGCCTGTCAGCCTAAAGCCTGTGCCACACCTCCCCCCTGCCACCCTGATGGCCGTCTCCAGGCTCAGGCTCTTACACTGACCTGCCACACCTCGGGGGGCTCCATCGCAAGGCAGAAATGGACAGTGATTCAGGCCTTTAGAGAAGGAGAAACTTCAGACACGTTGCCAAAAATGATGGCTGTGGCCGCAGCCTGCCCCAAATCACACACCTAGTTCTGGGCAATCCAGCACCTCGTTACCCACAGGGCATTTCACCAGGCTGTGAGGCAAACTATTTTTAAGATCTAACTATGCTTGTAATGCCCATCTTAGTGGCAAACAGAAAAGGAAGTCAACAATGAAAAGAAGGGATTGCCAAGTAGATTCTGAGTGTAAAAGGGAATAAAGCGTTTCTTAGAGAGGTTGAAAGAATCCTTGCATTTAGGGGATTGGATTCTGAATATTCTGTGTTCTCCTGGTCTCGCCACCTGCAGGAAGCGGGCAGATCCAGCTGTGGCAGTTCCTCCTCGAGCTACTCTCCGATAGTGCCAATGCCAGCTGTATCACCTGGGAGGGGACCAATGGGGAGTTCAAAATGACGGACCCCGATGAGGTGGCCAGGCGCTGGGGGGAGCGGAAAAGCAAGCCCAACATGAATTATGACAAGCTGAGCCGGGCCCTCCGATACTACTATGACAAAAACATTATGACCAAAGTGCATGGCAAAAGGTATGCCTACAAATTTGACTTCCACGGCATCGCCCAGGCTCTGCAGCCGCATCCAACTGAGTCGTCCATGTACAAGTACCCTTCTGATATCTCCTATATGCCTTCCTACCACGCCCATCAACAGAAGGTGAACTTTGTCCCTCCCCACCCCCCCTCCATGCCCGTAACTTCCTCCAGCTTCTTTGGAGCAGCCTCACAATACTGGACCTCCCCCACAGGTGGAATCTACCCCAACCCCAATGTCCCCCGCCACCCTAACACCCACGTGCCCTCACACTTAGGCAGCTACTACTAGAAGCTTAATCATCGGTGGGCCTCTTCTCCCTGAAGCCCCAGCCCTCACACTTCCTGGAACACTTTGGACACTCATGACTTTGGAGACCAAACAAAACTGGATGTTCTTTCTTGTTGGAACCTTTGTATTTGTTCTTTATAAAAACAAACCTTTTCTTTTTTAATGTTGGCATCTTCTGCTTTGTCTACCTTGAACAAAAAAAATGATAATTCTGTGGGCCAGTAGGACAGTTTGAATTCTCAATCTCCTATCATCTTATGAGTTGAATACCTAGATTACTGGAATGGTTGTGTCATGGTTCTATGGTGGAAACTGTAAATTTCTTTTATATTTTTATGACCAAAGCAGCTTCTTATCAACACACGGGTCTTATCATGGACCTTGAAGGATTCAGTATGACAAGGAATCTTGGACTCAACCAGTTAGGCTCTGGTTTGAGACTTAGTGGAAGTAGAGACAGGAAATTTATGATCTTGTTTTGGGAGGACCCAATTCAGTGGATGGCAACTGGAATCATTGGTTGTAAGGTCAGTGAAGTTTTCAGCCAACTGGAATTTAAAAGAAAAAGCCTGTGTGTATGTATTTAAGGAGCCAAGAGGATCACAAAAGTCCTCTCAGTAGGCAATGTGTGCTAGGCTGACTGTTCTCTCTAGAAACAGTCAACATATGGACTAAGAAATGTTAATGCAACTAGAAACAGTCAAGACATGAACTAATAAATATTAATGCAAGTGCAGACACTCCTGAAAGATAGAGTGATAAATAACTTTTTTTAAAAAAAATAATGACAGTGGGTCCCAGAACTTTGAAAAGCCTTAGGGATTTCTAAACACAAACAGATCCGCAAGCGCTGTGCGCTTGTCAGAGCATCGGTCCAGGGTCACCCAATCCAGAGACAGTTTACTGTATAAATTATGCAGAGTTATTTTCCTATATCTCACAGTATTAAAAATAAATAATTAAAAAATTAAAAAGAATAAATAAACGAGTTGACCTCGGTCACAAATACAATGTTACTATCAAATCAGTTGTTGTTATTTTTTTAAGTGTAATTTGTACATCTTTTGTCAATCTGTACATTTGTGCTGTTTGTACGTTTTTATAGCTGGGTTTTAAAAAGTCATAATGTGATTATTGCTGCAAAAAAAAAAAAAATACGGACATTGACATCGCTGACTTACTAGAACAAGAAGCACTGGCAAAGATATTTAACAGCCTGGACAAGCAAACATTGTGCTCCATTTAAATCTTTATGCTTTTGGAAGTGTTTGTAAATAACATACTGCAATCACCACAACTTTGAAAAGAGCAACCGAAGCTTCCTTTGTGGATACAAGGGATTTTCCTGCCCCCGTATATGCAATATATTTTTTAGATATTAAAATATATATAATTTTACAGGTAACCGTTGACCTTTTTAAACTATATTAAGTGTTAAGCTGACAACTGTCCCTGAAGACTCTGTTGTGAAGTAATTTGACTGAATAAATCATGCCTTCTCTCAGAACCGAGGACGTCATTTTCTTACTTACCCCTCCCATAGGCACAGGGTCTTCCCAGTGGAAGTTTTCCATTTACCTTTTGCACCATGAAGAACTTTTCAGACGGACAAACTGTATTACGGGAGAAAGTAAAAAACAAACAAACAAACAAAGAAAAACAACGTGGTTTTGAGTGTTGTTTGTAATTAGGCAGGGTTCTGCAGAGAAACAGAACCAGTAGGAGGTAAACAGATATAGACATAGACATAGACATATAGATATCTATATAGATGCATGTAGAGAGGTGCATATATATATACACATAGAGAGATGTATATATAATGTCTATATAGATATCTACATAGATGCATATATAACTATATGTATATATAAAAATATGTGTGTGTGTATAGAGAGAGAGACAGAGAGAGAGACAGAGCTTGATTGATTATGAGAAATTAACCCCACAGGACTGTGGGCTTAGAAGTCCCATGGGCTGCTGTGTGCCAGCTGGAGACTCAGGAAAGCCTGTAGTTCTGGTCCAAACCTAAAGGCCTAAGGACCAGGAGAGCCGATGGTGTAAATCCCAATCCAAGGGCAACAAAAGTGAAGTGTCCCAGCTCAAGCTGGCAGGCAGGAAGCATATGGTGAATTTGTCCTTCTTCGGCCTTTTGTTCTGTTCTATGCAATAGCTCAGCTGATGCATCAGGGAATGCCACCTACTTTCTCGAAATCCACCAATCCGAAGGGTAACTCATCCAGAAACACCTACACACTTACACCCAGAAATAACATTTAATCTGGGCACCCTGTGACCCAGTCAACTTAGTGTTTAAAATTCACCTTCATGTTGCTGATGATGTTTGCAGGGATTCCTGTTCAGTGTTATTGAAATCTTCCTCCAGCCTAAAAGAGATTTAGAGGATGACAGTCAAGGCCACAGACAGTCTGTATTTAAGAAAGAAAACAAAGCAGATTGTTCCACCATGGACATTGCCCATTGGACTTCATTCTGTTGCACCCACCAAGCTCTTCAAACCCAAGTGGCCATCCTTCTGATACTCCAACAAAGAATAAGACAGCCCAGCTTCCTCTGGTCCCATGCCAGGATTTTATCGTCCATGCAGATTTTTAAGGTCTTTTTTCTTCCTAAGGAAGAAACTCTCTTGAAAGTGTTTCATGGTTAGGTAGCTTGTTTTCAATTTCTCTATTTTATAATGAAAAAGAATGAGGCTTGGAAAGTCATTGATATCATGAGGAATGAGACTTAAAACATTGGTAACCCTACAACCTTCCCTTGGTAACCCTGGGAGCCTTCTAGACAACATGTCTGCCTAAATGAAATAAGATGTGTTCCGGATGGTCTCCATTGTTTTTTTTAACTTGCACTCTATCATTAAAAAATGTCTTAAGCAATTATTCTCAACATATGCACATTGATTTATAAATCATATACACAAACTGTTACATTACTATTAATGTTATAAAAATAAACACAAAATAGAAAATTTTCAGAACAATATAAAATAAATTAAAACTGAAATTCTAATAGTTTCTTCCATTTTCTTTGTATCACATACCTCCTGCTGTGAACACTCAAGAAGAAAGTTAGTCTTTAGAGGAAGAGTGTGTTTGTATACATCTGTATGAGTTTTCCTGTGACTTCTAAGAAAGGAGAAAATAAAACTTGTTATCAGCAGCCCAAGCATAGAAAGAGAAATGATGAAGGTCAGATACGTTTAAAAATAGTTTGGCTGTATTCTTTGTAAAATCTCTACCTCAGCCAAACAACTTTGCCATCAACTGTGAGATTTGCAAAGTATTCATTAGGGAAAATGGAGGCACATAAAGGATGTTCAGACCACTGGGGCTTCACCATGTGAAGCGGGGTTTTTAGATGCCCTTTTTAACCTAAAAATAAAAAGGCTCTTCCAAGTGAGAGGCAACAGCATTTATTGGGATCAATAAGAATTGAGATTCTGGAAGCCCTGTTTCAGAAAGAAACCCAGGAAATGTTCCTGTTAGGAGACAAAGACAATGAGTATTTATGAGAAAAGGAGGCGGAACGATGACATCAAGAGATAGAAGGTGTTTCTGTTGGTTCAGATACCATAACACAGTGATGCTAATTCTAAACAATGTTTTTAATTTTCAATCCAGTAGCCATCAGACCCTTCATCATCATAACTGCTTTTTTGGTTATCTTTGCAAACAGTTTCTAAGGAAACAGGTTGCATAGGCCCAGGCCAAAGGTTATTTTGTCCTGTTTCAACATTCCGAAGATCTGAGGCATAAGACGTACCAGGCAGCCCCTCTGGCATGACAGTGCTGGCTCCATTTTAAAGCGGCTCCATTTATATTATTATTCCAAGGGTGTCCAACGTTTTGGCGTCTCTGGGCCACAGTGGAAGAAGAAAAGTTGTCTTGGGCCACACGTTAAATACACTGCACCATGTAATGACAAAAAAAAACCTAATAATGTTTCAAGTAAATTTACAATTTTGTGTTGGGCCACATTCATAGCCGTCCTGGGCCACATGTGACCCACAGGCCGCGGCTTGGACACCCCTGGAACCTCATACTCTATTCAAACGCTGACTTATGTTCATCGCCTCTATAAAGACTTAGAACTTTGGCCAAATCTTGCCCCTTAAACTTGTTCCCCAGTGACCTATTCCACATTTAAGAAGCTATTCCACTCGCTAACAGGACCAAGACGCCATTTTCTCCTTAAGTGCATTTGTGTGGAGGAAGGGCTGGCATTTATTCCCCTATAATGCCCAGATTTAAGGTTTACTAGCTTATTCAAGGGCATCCAGCTGGCTCGCCTCAGAGGACAAACAGAATCTTTGCCCTCCTGGCTTCTAGCTCAGTATTTTCCCCACTCAACCATTCTGCACCTATGCCATGAGGTTTATTCATTCTAACGAGCAGTGCAAGCCAGGAAGAGAGAAGCGTGGCACAGCTGCGAGCAGTTCTGTTGGAAAGCAACGTTCCCCATGGTTTAGGATGCTGGCCAATAGCCCGTTGAGCAGGAGGTTATATACTTTTAGTGTCAAAGTATATTGTTGACTCCCAGACAAAGGAAGCTATATTTTCAACATCTGCTGTTTTGCCATGGTTAATGATCACCAGAATTTTCATAACACCTAAAATGATCATTATTTTCTTTAACCAATAATATTTCCCTGGAATTGAATAATAAATGTGTATGATGTTTATTTAGTCCATGGGTAATGCATTAAGTGTGGGCCCCCAGAGGGGGTGTGACTAGTTTAAACCAAATGAGATCAGGCGGTTCCAGAATACCAGGGCAGAAAGGAACACCTGTCTCTCCTATGCCAAGGAGGCATGGCCCGGCCAAGGCATGGTTGGTGAGGAAATAAAACACAAAGCAAAACAAAACAAAACAAAATGCAGTACTTTTGGTAAGTTGTCCGCGGACTTGGTTTCACACTCTAATTCCTCAAATACCTATTTACGTAAACATATTCCCTTAAAAGCTATTGAAAAGATACCACTTTGGGAAGCAACCCTTGAGCCTGGCTGCCCTGCTCCCACACCGAGCTGGGGATCTGCCGCCCGGAGCTTCCCCTGCCATTAACAGTAGCGCTGGGCTCTCCAACCCCGCCTCCCCCTCCCCCACCTAGGAGGTGGCGGTAAAGCGGTGCTTAGCATCAATGGGAGAGAAAGGGGAGGTAATAAAGAACTTGAATGGGGGACCAGGGGACTGGGCTCTCTTGAATAAACAGAGGCTTCAACTCATATCCAGGAAGAACTCCGTGTTTTGCAAAAAAGCACCCTGGACACTTCATCATACAGAAAGCTACTGAAGTTGACAGGCACTCCTCCAGCCAGAGTCCGCTGAAGGATAATGAAAGGTCGGCTGGTTTCAAGACTACAAATCCCAGGCTCCCATGGGGCCAGACCCTTCTGAGAGGAAGTGGGTTAGCCAGCCAAACCTCTAGGGTTTCAGCCAATTGAGAAAGGATATGAAGGGAAGCTTTTGAAAGGAATGTCTGCTCACATGCCTGGGGTCTGTCTCCCTCTCACTCTTACTTGGCCTCCTGTCTAATTGTTTCAGTCTGTCTGAGCTGGTAAATTCCTAAGCACATAGTCAATTTACACTTAGCTTAAAAGCTCTAAGGGGAAACAGAAAAGTTTCCAGCGAGACCACTCACTTGCCTGCAATTGCTAAACTAGCCTTCAGATTTTAAGTGAGTTACCTCATGTGTTTTCTTAGTGTAAAGAGAGGCAATTTAGGTAGATAAATGAGCAAGGGTGTAATGCCAGAAGACCTGGGTTCCAATTCTGACCCTTCCATCTACTGGGCAACTTATCTGCACCTATGAACTGGGGAGCAGAGCAATAAATATCTCCTGCAAGAGTTCGTGTGGGATATTAGATGACACATGTGGAAAACCCTTTCAAAATTACTGCACAGGAAGTATACATATAATCATTGTTATCTGTCGGTATTTGCAAGGTTTTTTCCAAGAACGTTTATTAAGTCCTTGTTAACCGGTGAGCACTCTGAATAGAGAGTTGAGTACAGGGTAGACTTTGTGTTGCGGTCAGAAAGGCATTTTCCAAATGCGTGAAAAGTGGGAGTAATTGGATTTTCCAGAGAGCCGTTGGGTTTCCCCTGCCCCACAGTGCCCCTGTCGGCTCCCGCCCTTCACGGAGGCTGGGCGCACCTAAAGTCCACAGTGCGCGCTGCCAAACTCCAGGATGCTGCAAGTAAAATAGGATTGTTATGGAGGAATGCTAAAAATGCACTTTGTCAGAAATACTGGGTTGGATTTTTTTCAATCCACTGAGAAATAGAGGTCTGGAGCTGGGATTTTATGCTTAGTAAGCTTAGATCTGGGTTGTTGGCATACCCAGAACAGCCTGTAAGCTCCCTGAGAGAAGACATTCTGTCTTTTTTGTGTGCTGTGTAGGAGGCAGCGCACAGTAGTTGGTCAGTAAAAGAGATGCTAAATGAATACATAATGAACAGGGATGGAGTCTGAGAGACCTGGCTCTGAAGCCCAGCATTTCCACTGCCCTAATTACAGCTTACTATCTCTGAGTGTGAGTCCCCCTCTGTTAAACGAGTATTGTAGTCTAACCATACTACGTCATCCTGGGCGTTA